ATTTTGAAATTAATAATCCATAAAATTTATTTTAAAGTACTATTTACAAATATCTATGCAAATTAACTTCTAATTGATAATTAAGGTTATAAAATTAACAATTTATTTTTTATGTGTATTTTATTTTATATATTAGATGAACTATTTCTAAATAAAGTCGAAGAATTTAAAAAAACTAACCTTAATTTAATGTGGAATTTTTACTTCAGGAATATTTATTTAATAAGAGTTATTGCAAAGATTCATCTGCTTTTAACATTTATAATACTTCCCAAATTTTCAAAATGAAACATCATTTTTACTTTATTTCATTTGAAATGTAATACAACCTCCTAATCACTTTTAATCGTTTAATAGTTTTGATTGTTTGTTATTAAATATGGTAAATAAAAAAGGAAGACCATTTTAAAAATGATTATTTTTGGTAGACATATATAATTAACAATCAGAAAAATTCTTTAAATATAAACTAGAGTTGTATATAGATTTATTAAATTATTTATTATAAAAAATGAAAACTAAAATATAAAATTTTGATAATTTAGAGATATTTATCTTATAATTTTTGTTTTAAATTTTCTTACAAATAAATTTGATATATAATCATTAAATCAATAGATTGACAATTGGTATCAAAGCATCAATTTAAATGATTGACATCAATATATATAAAATTTTAAAGTCGATTCTTATAAAATTTTTTTTGTTCTTTTATTTATTATAAGTCTTTGTTTCTTTAATAATTAATCCAGCCATTTTTTATACATTCAATTAAATCAATGCTTAAATTTAAGACTAACATTAAAGAAAAGAAGGAGATATGAATCCACCCAAAAAATAAATGCTAATTTTAATTAAAACTGAAGCTATAAATTAAAAATGACCCTGTTATTAGAGCAAATAAAAATTCTCTGGAGATGATTTTGCTGTATTCATACTTGGATTTAAGAGGTCTAAATTTTAATATGTAACCTAAATTGAAAAGTGAAGACATGGAGAGTAAAATTGATTATATTTAAGGATATTCAAAAGCTTCGACAATAATAAAAATATAAAACATTGTTTTATAAATCTAGAATGATTTGTAATTTGCAGCCCAAAATTGAGCTTTAGAATCTTGATAAAAATATTTCCATTTTTTTTAATCCTTTATTTTCAATGATGTAATAGAAAGTAATTGGAGTCCTATATATGAAACTATCACTAATCCAATAATTGCATTGATACTATTAAATATCATAAGTGGAGAATTGAAGTGATATTCAGGAAATTATAATAATACACTAAATAAAAATTAATGTAGAATTGCTTAATAAACTTTAATAATTCCAAAAGAGTAGTATTCATTTTTGAATTTTAAACAAAAATTTTGGACCTTCCTAAATATAAATGCCTCACATCGAAGATATATCAAATTATTTTGAAATTTTCTAAATTACCTTTTTAACAAATAAGTGACTTTTTGAGAGGTCAGTAATACACAAATAAAAAATGTGATTAATGAGCAAAAAATGGAGAAGTAACAACTTTAAGCATTGAGTAAATAAAACTAATTTAATGGATTAGTTTAATTTTAATCTAATTTTTTTTTACTATAAAATGGTAAGCTACCTCCATTCAAAGATTTTAATATATCTTCTATATGAAAATAATCTAATATGGGTTTTAATGATATTTTAGTATAAGTGTTGAGAAATTACACCAAATTAGGTGGAAATAAATACTACATAAATTTAATATAAGACAACGACTATAATAGTTCTAATAAATTAAAAAAGAGTATAGTATTTCCTGTAAGCAATGTTAGCCCTGAGATAGCAATCATAGAGTAAATCATAATCTCATTAAGAAGCATAATTTATGTAACTTTTTCATGGGTAGTTTCAGGTAGAATAAAAGGGTTACCAAGCTTGATTGAAATTTAGTTTCTCACTAAATCTAAATCAAATTCATTTTTTATCATTGATAACACAAAATCAATCTAAAGCACAGGATTATTTACAGGCTCTATGAGTTCAACTATAATCTAATATACTGGATGGTTAAATGAGGTTGAGATATTTACAATAGGCTTAATATTAATAGATGCATAAGTATCTGGAATAATCGTGATCACGGCAATTTCTTCAAAGTTTAAATTTGCTGTTAATTTGACATTTTATGTAAAACTTAATTCAATCAATTAAGTTTGGTTAGTTTTACTAGAGAGGCTTGCAATAATTAAATCAGGAGGTAAAATATAAGAACAAGTGCTGGTAGCATTTTCTTGATTTCGACAGTGATAAGAATCTTCTTCACTACAAAAAGATGAGCATCCATCTCCTCCAATTTAATTTCCATCATCGCATTATTCGTATTTTGAATTAAGAACTCCATTTCCACACTAAGATACACATTAAAAATTTATAAAAATTTAATTCTCACCGCATCTTTGATCAATAATTTCATTTGATTCTTCGATATTTTAAGTTTCATCCTCATCAATTAAAACTTTAATCTCTTAACATATCTCTGTTTCATAATTTAAGATAAATTAATTGTCACATTTTTTACAACCTTATCCTTAATCACAATCAATACAACCAAATGAACATTAAAACTAACATTAATAACATCCATCATAAGGTATATAATTACCATCATCACATTGTTCTTCATTGTTTTAGATTATTCCATCTCCACAGAAACCAATACATTAATTAATGAAGCATTAGTTTAATTAATCATCCCATACACATTCTTAATTATCAATATCTGAGTGACATTATTTTTTAATTAAATTATCTTCACAAGCCTTCTTTTATATACAACCTCCCTCTTTTTTAACTGTGCAAGTTAATAAATATGATTCACATTCTTAATGTTTATTTAATGTTTCAGGAGCTGTTTCACAAGTTTTAGTTTAACATTTATTGTTTAACCAAATACATGGCTATAGATTTATATCATAAGTACATCCATCTTATATTAGTACATTTTCACATTATTCTCGAAGAACACATTAAAATCCATTTGTTGTACAACTCTTATTTTCAAAGATTGATGCACATGCTGAATCAAAAGGATAATAAAAATCATAGCAATTTTTAATTCTACATCCTCCTCTTTGGCAAACATTTAAATAATCAATACATTCTGCATCATTTAAAGCTATAGGAGGTCCATTTATACATATTTTATCCTAACATTTTTTTTTCTATTCATCCCAAAAGCATGATATTCCATCATAATTTATTTAACCTAAACTCTAACATTAATCTAATGAATATTCAGAACAACTTTTAAAAGGAATAACGCAACCATCAAATGATTGATTGACTGTGCATTTTGAATAAAAATATTATTAACAAGTATTGACAGAATAAATACTCAATTAAGCAGTAGTGCAATTTTTTAGAGTACATTTATTCTAATTATTAATCCATTCACATTCTTAATATAGGAGATCTATTTTGCATTATTCTTAAATAACATAATTATTGCACTAATCAAGCAATTAACATCCATTAAGAGTTGCATTAACTGTGCATGTCTTTAATTTTTAGTTACATTCTATATGAGTATTATCTTCTAAGATAGAACATTATAAATTGACACACTAATTTGTAGTTTTTAAATAATAACATTAGTTACCTAATATATCCTTGAAACATTAGGTTTTTTTAGCAATAGAACAGCTCAATGGTAATTAAACACATTAAATTAATCCTGGTTTAAGAGTGCATATTTTATTGGGATAAAAGTCTTCACATTATTCATGAGTTGTATAAGAGTAATCTGCTGATTCGCAATCTTCTATACAACTTGAAGTGTTGGAATCGAATACGCAATGGTCTAACCAATTATTACATTCAGTAGAAGATTGAGAAGTGCTTGGGCGATTGGAGCATTATTTTTCAACACAAATTGTACCATCCCAAAAACAAGCCTTTCCATCTGAATTTTATGTACATAATGAGGGGGAGTGAAAGTTACTGCAATCTCTAACCGTTTAACAAAGAGTTCCATCCCAAAAACACTTTTAAGAAAAAATTTAACAATCACCTTCATTTGTTAAAATAGAACAATCCAATAGTTAGCATGTATTATTTAATGACATACATTAATTGTCAAAATTAACACAATCAATATGATCGTAAGGACCAGTTTTATTAGATTTACAAAAGTCATAACACTTAGAATCAGACTGTTCCCAATAACATTTTATATCATTTATTGTAATTACGCAAGCAGCCTAATAAGTATAATCTTAGCAAGAATTTTTCTTTAATGTACATTTATTTATGAAACTTATACTAATTGTTTACATAGGATTTAATTTATAACAATCTGAATGTTAAATTGGAGGATTTGAAATAGAAGAATCACAAAAATTATTAGTTATACAAGAGCCATTACACCAATAACATTTTATCAAAACTGTTTAACTTTAAAAGATTTATGATTAGTAATTCTCTGAACATCTAACTTAAGTAGTATAATCTTGACAAAGTTTTGATATACACGTATTCACCCATTTGCAACTTTATCCATCACTAGTATTAGCTGAATTACATAAAATTTAATCAGTTATTTTTGAACAAGATAAAAAAGCACATCCTTAACCAAAATTGTAATTCAATCTACAAAGTTAAGGTGAAATTAATAAGCATTCATAATTAAATAAAGCAGTTGTATTAATTTCACAATTTATATTATTTACACAATTACCAGTTTACCATTTACATTATGAATACTGTAAACATTAGTAAATAAGTTTAATTTAAGAGCAATCATTACCTGAAAATTTAATACACCCATTATTTGATAAAACACAATCATAATTCCAATCAAAACAATCTTTACTTTCTAAAGTTGGTAGATTTAGATGTTCACACTTTCTGTTTTCACATTTGTTTGTTGATGAATTATATCCGCATAGCTATTAACTAGACAAGTTTCCTGAGTTGCAAATATCTTTTCCAAAAACAGATAATTAGTCACAATTTGAATTACTTTTACAATAATCTTTATAATAATAGTAGTCTGCTGAAAATTTCTAACACTCTTATGCTCTTATTTAAATATCATCTGAACTAAAGGTCAATAATTATTTACTTGTATATTATTAACATTAATATTAATAAAATAAATTTCCATCAATATCAAATTGAGTATAGATAAAAAATTAACAACGATTCTTAAAACCATCCAATTTATTATCGCATGCACTTTAATGTTTTTCTATATCTGAACAATTATTATTTGACCTACAATAATTAGAAGAATAAGCGCATCTTTAATTAAATGACATTTCAGCTTTACCACAAGTATTTTAACTTAAGTTAGAACATTTAACAAATGAGATACAATTTTAACCTTCTTATTATAAGATGCAATTTTTTTAATAATATTGACATTATTCATTACTCTTTGCAAAAGTCACCAACTCACAAGAATTATCAGCTGTTAACAACTGACATTTTTTATTCTTCTAAATATAGAAACAGGATTATCCTTTCAAGGTGAATGTTAGATTACAGATAGTTGAATCTTTAATTTATTGACAATCTTCTGGTCTATTTTCACAGCCAGGCCCAAAACTTCCATTTTGATTTATTTTTAATTAACATTCATAATTTCTTCTCCATCTTAAACATTCACTATCAGTAGTAGCAGTAGTATTATCAATACATTAAACAGATTTACACAATTTGTTAGTGTAATCCCATTAACATGGTTGTTACAAAACTGTAACTACACATTATTACTCTTTAAAATAAGAACATGTTGTTTTATTATTTGAAGTGCATGATCTAGGAAAATTTCCTAATGTACATTTTGATAGGAAAGATTAACAATCTTAATGTGATAAATCCCCATATATTCTATTCTAACAATCTGGAATAGAATTATTATCAAAATCCCAAATTTAACATTTTTATTTTAGATCATCCCAATAACAATGGTCTCCTGCTATGGTTGATTTGCAACTGCTTACTCTTGTATATTGAGAGCATTACTCTAACTTTTTGATACATCCTTCTGATTTGAAATTATCTATTACAGTACATTTAGGATTCCAAGCATAACATTTTTGATGACTATCATACATAGTGGTATTTGGAGATTAAAAACATTCCAAATTGGATGGCCTTGTCTAACATCCTCCAATTATTTGATTATATATACAATCATCCATCCATTAATTACACTCTATGTTATTTGTATATTCTGTATTAATGGCATCAGAGCATTCCTTTAATTTACAAATAGTTCCTGACCAAAAACATTGAGTTCCATTTTATAGATTTAATTTACATTAATCCTCAATTTTCATATCATTACAACTAGTTGGCCAATTTTGGCATCCGTATCCGCTGGTTTCAATTATACATTATTAACCAAATATTTTAAAATTTGCGCAATCCTCATTTTTGTTATATAAATTAATATCAGCACTTGAACAATTATCATATTAACACTCTTTTAATGATGAATTCCATATGCATTTATACCCTTCAATAGTTGTATAGCATTGTTCTTATTAATAAAATTAACAATCTATATTTTTCTTGACACATCCTAAAGAAGCTTTTGTTGAAGCAAACTAAAATAGCTAAACAGTGCACTCTGACATCCATTCTTCACATTCTTAATGAGTTTTATATGTAGAAGGAGCAGTTTTACATTGTTTTAAGATGCAACCTTAATTTAATGAACATGAATTGCCTTAAGAATCAATTTTACAAAAGTCTGCTTCTTGAACATTTTCACATGTAAAATCAGTGCATCCTTAAAATTAAAAATTATATGTGCATTTTGTACTGGCTTTTTGGCAAGACTTATGATCTTGATAATCTGGTAAAGTTAATTGATTACAAATTAAAAGAACACACTAATTATTTGTCCAAATACACTATTAACTTGATGAATTCACATCACAAAAAAGTTAATTAGAAATGTTTTCACAATCTTTAGGTGTAGTTTCACATCCTCCCCCTGTTTTTCCGATGCAATTACCATATAATTTACAGTCTGAATGAGCATAATCAGTCGGAGCATGATGACATTGTTTCTTTTCACATTTATTATTAATCCAAATGCAATCTTAAGATTTTATTGAATAACAATCTATTACTACAATATAACCAGAACACATTGTTGGTCTAGGTTTACAACCTCCCTTTTCAGAAGTAACACAATCTAAATCTTTGTCATACTCTTAACACTAATTATAATTGTTAAACAAATTTAAAGCAGTATAACATGTCTTATTTTGGCATTCTCCTTAATAATACTAACAGATATTTCCTAGATTATCAGTAACACATCCTGCTTCCATCTTTGCATCTTAACAAGCCTTTCTAATGACACAATGAATGCCATTAGTAGTACATTCGTTTAATTATGATTTACATTAGTAATCTGTCTTAAAAGGAAAATTATCACATATTTTCTCCAAGCACTTCTTTTATTCTTTTAACCAAAAACATATTTATCTATTATTTAATGTTGAATAACATTAACTTTCCTTCATGTATTCACTACATGATTCCATCTGACGAATGCAACCATAATTTATGGCATTCACTGTACATCCTTCTAAGCTTTCATTGCATTTTTTGTGATCTGTTAGATATATAGGTAGATCTTCACATTTATCAACATCCTAACATTTGATTGATTCTTATTTTTTCCATACACAATAAGTTCCTTTTTTACTTTTATTATTACATTCAATTTGACTTAGATAGTTTATACACTCTCTTATTTTGATGCATCTTATACCATCAGATACACATTAAAACGAAGCAACTTCACAAAGATCCTTATTATACATCTCACAACCTCCGAAATCAATACATTTACCTAAGTGGAACCCACAATGTTAAAGTCTTCTACATTCTTCATTTTCATAACTTTAGCATAATTTAGAGTCCTATTTGCTTGTTAAATACTTTAATCCTGATTTTATTACACATTTTTCATTATCCCAAATACAGATACTTGATTTTAAGCATATTTCTCTAGTCTGAATATGACCACAAACACAAATTTTTGAAGGTTCTATACAAAATGTTGTTGAAAGCATCAAGAAAAAAATTTAAAATGCATAGCATCTCGATTAAATCATTTTTTGTAATACAAATTATAAAGGAAGAATTTTGAAAACTTAATATAGTATTTATTAATGATATAGTAATTCATATATAAAACAAATCTTAAACTTCATTTGATTAGAAAAATCAGATGATTTGTCTTAGAATTTAAATTTCTAAATGCTTCATTATTGAATAATATTAAAACATATCAATTTTCAAATAATTCTTATATGGTTGCTTTTCTAAAAAATAGACTGATCTATAAGTTATTTCAAAGAAAATTTAGTTGTGAATAAGAGTTAATCTAATCTTTAAAGTTACTTTATCTAAACGGGTTCTAATTGTAATCAGTTTAAGAGTAAATATAATTATTAAAAATATTTTTATTTTCAGGGTATATTCTAAACACTGGAAGAGGACAATCTTATAAAGTACATTAACCTCCTTTTGTAAAGTCATTCATAAATTTTGCATAAAAATCTTGAAATATGGATTTGTATGAAGATTAAAATTGGTATATAGTCTGGAAGTATTTAAGTTATTTTGTTTGGAATAATTGGTAGGTGATTTTATTTCTAGTTTATATTCAAAAACTATCGTGTTTTGATTAATAAAATTTTATTTAATAAGTGGATTTATGTGAAAAAGTATGAACCTTATGAAATTATGGAAATGCTTTTGTCTTATGCCAATATCATTAATAAATAATAAAATCATACATTTAATAAAAAACATAATTTAAAAAGGAGTTCAAATTTATAATTATTATATTTATTTTATTTTTAAACTCCTGAGAAATTATTTAGCCCTTGTTTTGATGATGACCCTTATGCAAAGATATAAGTTTTCTTTAGATATTTTAATAAATAAAGGAATTTTATCTATTAATTATTATTCATAAAAATTTGGTTACTAATTAAATAATTTTTTGGAAGGTAGAGGGTTCAATAAAATAAGGTTATCAATATTCTAATCGTCAGGAAGTATTTTACTCCAAAAAATGTCAAAACCTCATAAAAAAAGTAATTGTTCATCTGATCATATACCTAGAAAATTATGTATATTCTCATCAATGATAAATGCTGACAATGTAGCTTAGCTTAAAAGAAAGGAAGGAAAGAAATAAATTATATATTTTGCTTTTTATTTGAGATAGTGTTGTTATTTCAACCTCAGAAAAATTTAATTAAACTAATAATATTAATTTGATCACAAAGAACAAAACAAAATTCTAAAAAATTGTTAAAAAAACTAAAAATATCAATCAGAATATATTTCTCGATCTTGCTATTAAACATTAAAAAAACACTGTTTGAAAACTAATTAATTTATCAAAATTCTCAGATTATTAGAAAGTGATTAGATTCTTCAAGAATTGAATTACAATGAATTATCTATATGTTATACAGAATACAAAGAAATAAATCATTGTTATATTATTCTTTTCTTGATTCGATATGTATTATTGTAAAACGATTCTTAAAAAAATAACTAACAAATAATGAAAATTGATAAAGAAAAACTTTAGAAAAACATTGCCTGGAATTGCAGATGCTAGTAGAGCTACAGTTGAATAATCTATTTTAAAGCAATGAAGAACAATAAGCTGAAGTTCAAGTCCATTATTAAAAAAACTTAGTATCAGAAAACATAATCACAAATTGAAGAGAAAAATAAATATGGAAAACTTAAAATTATACCATAAAGTTAGCTCCTGAAGCAAACTTTATGTAGTTTTATTTTTATGAACTTATGAGGGCATAACTTCATTCATTGGAGCATTATNATCGTGTTTTGATTAATAAAATTTTATTTAATAAGTGGATTTATGTGAAAAAGTATGAACCTTATGAAATTATGGAAATGCTTTTGTCTTATGCCAATATCATTAATAAATAATAAAATCATACATTTAATAAAAAACATAATTTAAAAAGGAGTTCAAATTTATAATTATTATATTTATTTTATTTTTAAACTCCTGAGAAATTATTTAGCCCTTGTTTTGATGATGACCCTTATGCAAAGATATAAGTTTTCTTTAGATATTTTAATAAATAAAGGAATTTTATCTATTAATTATTATTCATAAAAATTTGGTTACTAATTAAATAATTTTTTGGAAGGTAGAGGGTTCAATAAAATAAGGTTATCAATATTCTAATCGTCAGGAAGTATTTTACTCCAAAAAATGTCAAAACCTCATAAAAAAAGTAATTGTTCATCTGATCATATACCTAGAAAATTATGTATATTCTCATCAATGATAAATGCTGACAATGTAGCTTAGCTTAAAAGAAAGGAAGGAAAGAAATAAATTATATATTTTGCTTTTTATTTGAGATAGTGTTGTTATTTCAACCTCAGAAAAATTTAATTAAACTAATAATATTAATTTGATCACAAAGAACAAAACAAAATTCTAAAAAATTGTTAAAAAAACTAAAAATATCAATCAGAATATATTTCTCGATCTTGCTATTAAACATTAAAAAAACACTGTTTGAAAACTAATTAATTTATCAAAATTCTCAGATTATTAGAAAGTGATTAGATTCTTCAAGAATTGAATTACAATGAATTATCTATATGTTATACAGAATACAAAGAAATAAATCATTGTTATATTATTCTTTTCTTGATTCGATATGTATTATTGTAAAACGATTCTTAAAAAAATAACTAACAAATAATGAAAATTGATAAAGAAAAACTTTAGAAAAACATTGCCTGGAATTGCAGATGCTAGTAGAGCTACAGTTGAATAATCTATTTTAAAGCAATGAAGAACAATAAGCTGAAGTTCAAGTCCATTATTAAAAAAACTTAGTATCAGAAAACATAATCACAAATTGAAGAGAAAAATAAATATGGAAAACTTAAAATTATACCATAAAGTTAGCTCCTGAAGCAAACTTTATGTAGTTTTATTTTTATGAACTTATGAGGGCATAACTTCATTCATTGGAGCATTATAAAATCAATCCTATTTTTTAATTTAAATTAAGAAAAAAAAAAGATTATAAGAGCTAATCCTTTCTCCATCTATATATATTATTTAATAATGACTATATGAAAATAAAATAGCGAATTGTTATAATTGTTATAGCTGTCATAATTTTATGTAAAATCAAGTTTGATAGTATAACAGAAATTGCTATATAAGAAAGTGATAAAATTTCATTCAAAGTTGATTCAAATTAAAGGAATCATAGTATTTGTATTCTCTAGAAAAACATACAAATAGCATAAGATCCATAAGTTTAAGTAAGATTTTTATACTTACCCAAATTTCATTATTTTTATTATTTTCAATTATTTATTATATTCTATTACTTAGTCTGTACATAGTTAAATTCTAATAATAATAAAACTTATGGTTGCTCAATATTCCCAATTAATCTATTAAAAGGATAAAAACGCATTATTTATTAGATCAAAAAATATCATATATATTCTGAGAGTAATGGCTGATAAATTTTTTGTTATTAATTAATTTAACTGTATCACAAATTAGAATTTTGGAGCTGTGAAAGATGACGGTAAATATTTAATAGTCTGGGATAATCATAAAAAAGATTATTAATCCATTCAATTATCAAATTAATGAAATAATAATAATTAAATTTAATTAAATACTTTATATATTTAATTCTCATTTATTTGATGAATCTCATCATTAATAATTCAAATCAATAGTTTTTATTAAAATAAACTCAATTAAATAATTTTCTTAAATAATTATTCATTATATGTAGATGCCATTGAGAATTTTTCAATAATTTAATTCTTGGAATATTCTAATTTATTTAGCTACAATTTATGATGAAAATTTAAATTATTTTTAGTTATTTTTAACGTAAAAAGAAAGAAGTGTTGCTCAAATGTATTTAGTTTACAAAAAATATTAACAATTAGGATATTTTAAAATCTTCCAAACTGAATATATTATAATGTTAGAAAATATTGTGGTTTTGGGTATAAAAGTAGCATAATTAAGAGTCGAGATTGATAGATTTTTATTTTCAATTTTATTATCATAGCTAAATAATAATAATTGAAGGAAGAAATAGTAATTTTGATATTTTAATATAAAATATATTTTGAAATATATAATGATATTTAATTTTTCTAAATCCTTTAAATCTTCAATTTTACAGTATCTGTTCTTTAACAAAATTGAAGTGTATTAAACTCTCTTTCTAAAAGATTCAATTAATTCACTTATTTCAAAATTATTCCTTCTTTATCTGAGATTTTTGTGGTTTGATTATTTAGATTATTAATTTTTACTTTTAATGACCTACTTTATTTAAATTTTTGTTTTAGTTTTCTTCTCATTATATCAGATCTTTTTATTAAATTTTTAATTGATTATATTTTATCTTTTAGTGGTTAATATATTCTAGAGTAACACTTTTTTTTTGATTTTACATTTTTAATATTTCTCTCACACTTTTTTTGAATTTATTGAAGATATTTGATGTAACTTTCTGGTTTCTAAAATAAATATGCTCACATTAAAAGTAGAACAAATCAATCATTAGTAAATCTGCGATTATATTTATTATGTATCATTATAATCTTGATAATCCATATAAAATTTATGGATTTTCATTAAGTTTTGGTTATAATCATTATTTAATTTAAATATTTGTATAATTTCTCAGAATTTTCATTAATTAGAATATGTATGTATATAATCCTTTAGTAGTATTAATTATTGTATTAACTTCAAATCTTTAATTTATTATGGTGATTTATTATATTAAATTATATTTAAAAATTTTAAAATACGATTTATTTTAAAAATAAGTTTTTTATAAGTAAAGCTAATGTAAAACAGTTAAGAGTTAATCTTTCTATCATTAACCAAATACATTCAATTCTGAATATTCAACATATTGATCACTATAAAAATTTAATTTTTTCATTTTATTTAATTTCTTAAAATAATTGGAAGATATAAGGATGAGAGTTTAAAACTCATAAGCAATATCACACTTTCTGTTCTTAAAATTAACAAAAAATCTTTTCTTTAATTTTTCGAATTAAAAAAGTTAACCTTTTTAGGGAAGAGCCAAATCCATTTAAGGAGAATAAACCAAATCAATGAAAACTAGTTTGAATTATATTTCTTTATCTAATAATTTTTTGTTATCCAAATCTATTTTCATAAATTTCTATTCCATTTAATCTTATGCCTTTCAGTAATTTTAAAAGAATATTCCCATTCGAGATTTTTAATTCTAAATAAACAACAAAATACATATATAGATCTAATTTATCTTAATAATTAATTTATAACTTTTCTTTTCAAACCTAAGCTTATTTAGTATTTAAATTAGAACGAGAAATTCATGACTAAAATAATCTATTTATAAAAAAGATATAATTGATAAAAATAAATCTTATAATTTTGTCTGAGTTGATTATTTATCTAATTATGAAAATTAGGAGTATTTAAGGTATAATAATATTGGTCTCAAGAATAAACAAATTTTTAATAATCATTTCTATTCGTGAAAATTAAATATAATATGTCCAATTAATATACTCCATCATAACATTCCTCTATTTTATGAAAGTTTTAATTAAGTTTTTCTGGTTCCTATAAGTAGAATTTGAATTATAATATTCTTGAAGAAGGTACTTCATAACATTAAACTTCATCAACTCTAAAGCCCAAGTAGAATTTCGATTAGAAGTTTAAGGAACTTCAAATTTTAATTTTAATTTCAAGTCAAATAGATCTTAATCAAGAGAATTTGCACGAATCCCAAATTCTCCTTTTTAAAGAGCTCAATACTTTTTTAAAGATCCTAATGTTAAGGTTTAAAAGACTTATCTATCGATTCCATTTATCAAGTGGCATACAAGTTATAGCATTTTTTAAAGCACAAATATAATGTTGATAAAGTTTTATAAGTAATATTATTATAGGTCGTTGTTGAATTAATTTTTTATTTAATTTACTTTTTGGTGGTTCTGATAAATTTTTGGGTCATGGTTCATTCGATCAAAGTTTACTAAGTCTTATGCAGATAGGACATCACAAATAGATTAATTTTGAATGAATGATTTAGGAGGTGTAATTATTTTTATTGAAATAATCTTATGTCATAGGCTTGGATAACTGCTTTTGGGTATAATATTTAAATAAGACACTCGTAATATTATTGTTTTGTCTTTATTACTTTAAATAATATTTGTTTATAAATAGTGAAATTGTTTGATCTAAGATCTATTTTCTTTATGGGTTTTTATAAATTAAATGGTGCAAGATAATCTCTCAATGTATATTTTCTTAATACATTTAGAAATGTAAAAATGATTGTAAAAATATGTTTATTTTTATCAAGTTATTTTTATAATGCTTTTTTATTACAGATTCATGTTAATATTCTTCAAATTATTTGTGTTTTAGAGAACTTAATTATAAAAATTAGGCGGAGTTAAAAGAAGGAATTGGTGTAATAAAATACATCAAAAGAAGCAAGTTAATAATATTCTTTTAAGTTAATTGGTCAATAATTTGGTTAAAAATAGGTAAATATGATCAAGGGTAATATTAACCAAAACTTCTTTGAGAGAATAAAATAATTTTATTACATTTACCTTTTTTGATTAGGGCATTTTTGCTTTTATTATCAATTTAAGGACTTAATCGCAGGATTCTATTACCTCCAAATATTTTTTAAGTATAAATAAAGGTCTTCCTATTTATATATAAAACTTTGATACCTTTGTTAAAAAGGGCTATTTATTGTTATTATCTGATTAAATAGTTTAATTAAAAAATTCAATAGCTTCTTCATTCTAATTTAAATTTTGTAATTAAATTCCTATTCTAATAAACTCTTTTACCTATATTTGAAAATTTTTTAATTATTATTATTATAAATCAGTTTTACAAAATTAGTTGTGATTGTAGTTATTTTATTTAATTCTTTAATTTACAAAATAATTACATATATAAAAGTTATAATATATTATTCTTTAGATTTAAAAATTTTTATCATCTCAACATCCGATATGCTATTATTCAATTAAATAAAAAATTTTATTAACCTTCATATCTAATTTAAGCCTGGAAACAAATTATAACCTTTATTTCTAATTCAAATATATTTTTTTCTTGCATTTAATTATATTCATCCCTTCTTAACATGAAAATAATAATTACTTGAAATTATTAAATAATGCCTAAATTTTGATAATTCTAATATGGTCAATAATTTTTCATCGATTTTGTGGAATTCTTTATTCGATTACTTTTTAATCTATAATTTCTAAAATATATAAATCAATGATGTATTTTTAAAATTAAATATACATTTGATCATAAATATTGAAAAAAAAAAATGAAGAAGAATTGTAGAACCAGATAATAATTATTGGGTAGCATAATGAAAAATTGTTCATTAATCTAATACATTAAGCTCCATTATCGACTCTAAAATTTGTAATTAAATTAAAAAAAAGAATAATAGTTCTCTTTTTCTTAAATCAATTTATACATTGATCAAAATAGATGAATTATTAACAAATCAATTCACATCCTTTGTTGAGGACGGTTAAGAATCTATTTGAATATACTAAATTATGAATAATTTTAATAATGTCATATGACATATTATTAATATAATTAATATTACTTTTATATTCGTTCTAGACTGCTAGTATATATATTTAAGAGAATTATTTTACCTTTAAGTCTATTACTAATGTCTTAAAGATCATTCAAATACGATATTTAGTCTAATAAAAATGTAACAGAATATATTCATATAATGATATTCAATATAATAATTAATATAGAATATTTTATTCAAAATTACAAGAAATGCCTTTAAAAAGGGCAATATTAAATAATATATTAGGTATCCATAATTTTGATATTGGTAAACCTAATTAATTATTTAAGTTTATTGAACCTCTAAAGGCAATCAACAATCTAATAAATTTCCTAGAAATTTTTTATTACGTTATAATTGAATTTTATTTTTTATATCATCATCATGCTTCATAGATTATTTATTCTTGCAATAAGTGCTTATTCATAAGTCTTATACTCTGAAAGTTTTACAAGCAATTTATTTACAACTTCAGAATGTATTGAATTCATTAATTGAAGATTGGGTACTAAGAGGAGAGAATTAAATCTATAGTGATTGTGGTTCTGTACGGCTTTTTGGGGGATATAATGCCTTTGCTAAAGGCACATCAGTTACTAAGTTATTTTAATTACCACCTCATCATACAGTATAGATTACACTGGAATTTTGGAAGTAAGTATTGGTTTGAACAATTTTAGACTAGACAGCTGGAATGGAGAAAGTTTTTTCATTTATTTAGATTAAATCTTAGGTTTCTAGGAGAATTATGGATTTGAAGCTGATTAATTATGCGGATTGAATCATGGGGATATTACAGTTTATATAAGTATTACATAACCCCATAACTTTTAATCTCTCTTTATTTTAATGACATCTAATTTAGATTAAGGTCCTACAAATGTACTCAATATATAATGATATAAATTTAGGAATCATGGGGAATCAGAAATTTCAAATTATATATATTCCCATGCCCTTCTGGATGCTTAACCTGCATTTCATCAGACTCCAGAGAAGATTGCATATTTTGGAACCTTATCGAAAATAGTCTAACTAATGTTGATTTTGATAGCTTTAACTTTGATGGATGGACAATAGATAGAGGATATAAATCTACTAGTAACTGTTTATGTAATTATATTAATACAAACTAAAGCTATTCCATTACTTGGAGGTTTTAAATACACTGGAAAAGGTAGCTAGTTATTCAAAACAATTAATTTACCAGCTCATAGTTAAGTTAAAATTTAATTCAGATTTATGATCTTAGATAAATGGAATTCTAAACAAGCATATTTATCAGTTGATAATACTTTGAGATGGTCAAAAACATTTGATTACAATAATAGAAAAATATAGAATATATGCGGTGACATTTATGATGATATACCGTTTAATGATCAATTTACAATTGCCCATTCAGAATCATCAATAACATTACTATTTAATACTAATTTAAATTAAGATATGTAAAATGAATCTTTTGGAATTAGAGACATTTCAATATTTATAGGTAAATATATTTGTTCGTACTTTAGATTGTCTTTTTGGTTCTTCTTTTAATTAAGCATGCGGATCTATTTGTGGAAATGGAATTCTAGAGGAATATGAAGAATGTGATGATGGTAATATATATTCTTTTGATGGATGTTTTAATTGTTAATATTTTTGTTTAGAAGGATGCTCAAATTGTATCAAAGGAATTTGCTTTGAATGTGATGATAAATGGTTCTTTAATTCTAATTTTAATTCATGTAATTTGATTGTTGATGATGAGAAATATTCAATCTGGGAAGAATGTGATGATCTTTTAAATTTTGAAATTTGCAAAAATGGCAAATTTGTTGTTCCATCAAATTGCTAATCCTATTAATTTGGTATTTGTTAGTAATGTGAATTAAATTATGAATTAATCAATAGCAAATGTGAATCTTTGTGCGAAAACTTATAAATTGTGCATGAGATATAATGTGTAGATAATAATTTATATGCATTTAATAGATGTCATTAATGTACTTACGATTTAGAAGAAGGTTGTAAATTTTAATAAAATGGAATTTGTATTTAATGTTAAGAAGGATGGAAACAAGATAAATCAACAGATAATTGTACTCCTATATGCGGAGATCTCATTGTTGAAAGACATGAAGAATGCGATATTAGTGAATAAACATAAAATTCTTTTGGATGTAATTAATGTTATTTTCATTGTTAACATGAATGTATAGATTGTTAATTCGGAATTTGTTATGATTGTATATCAGGATGGAAACTAAAGAATTAATAATGTCAGTTTGAATCCGAATGTGGTGACAATCAAATATAAGGAATAGTAGAATGTGATGATAAGAACTAAATTAGATTTGATGGTTGTCATAAATGTAGAAATGATTGTTAAAGAGAATGTTCCTATTGTTAAAAAGGAATATGTTTGGATTGTATTTATGGTTGGCATTTAAACGATTATTTTTAATGTGAATCTGAATGTGGCGATTCTTAAGTTGCTTTAATCTCATATGAAGAATGTGAGGATTCTAATAATTTATAATTAGATGGATGTTATGAATGTAAATTTGAATGTTGTCGTTATTGTACTACTTGTATCTATGGAATTTGTTATGATTGCTAAGCAACATTTACATTGATTGATTAACTATGCCTTCCTGTTTGTGGAGATGGATTAATTACTATTGGTTATGAAGAATGTGATGATATGAATGACATACCTTATGATGGTTGCTATTATTGCAATTATTAATGTAGATAATTCTGTAAAATATGTATTAAAGGAATATGTTATGATTAATGTGAATATGGATATTATACAGTAGATAATGTATGTAATCCAATTTGTGGAGATGGAATTACTGTTGAAGAAGAAGATTGTGATGATTTAAATGATGATAAAAGTGATGGATGTTTTAATTGTTTTTTTTATTGTCCAGATCATTGTAAAATATGTGTGGAAGGAAAATGTAAAGTATGCGAATAAGGATATGAATTAAATTCAAATCAAAATCAATGTGTAGCATTCTGTGGTGATGGTTTAGTCTCAACAGAAGAAGAATGTGATGATATGAATAAATAAGATGGAGATGGTTGCTCTTAACAATGTACAATAGAGCTTAATTATATTTGCAAGAACTACTTATATTCATATACTTAATGTACTTATGAGAAGTATCCTAAATTTTAAGCTTTATTAAAAAATTAGGATTATCAGAATTAATTTGTTTCTTTATATTTTGACCAAGAAGTAAAAATTATGAAAAATAATTCATTTTCAGAATAGATTCAATTAAATTTAATAGGGGTTGAATCAGAATTTTATAACATCGCATTGATAATAATTTAAGAAGCTTAATAATATTGCACTTATGTAGAATATGAGGTTGTAGTTACAATTAATAAAACATTATCATCTCCACCTATTCTTGAAATAATGTTAAAGGATAAATTATTTAATGAAAATGAAGCACCTTTGATTAATCATTATAAAAGGGTTAAATTAAATCTTCCTAAATACCTAGATGATGAAAAAAAATAATCTGCTCAAGTTCTAAAAAATATTGGAACAAATACTATCAAATCTGTTGGTGGCTTGGGTATTTTATTGCTACTGCTTGGTAATTCATTTAAAGGCATTATTGAAATGCTTTAATAATAATCTTATCTAAAATTTATTAACGTAATATTTCCAATTAATTTACTTATATATTTTGAATCAAGCAATATTTTAACTGTAGAACCTTTGTTAGATTTCTTTCATTTCAATTCACTTCAATTAGAAATTTTGCAAATGCAGTTTGTAGAGTCAAAAGATAAATTCAAATTTTATGAAATTAATGCTGATATACTGTATAATATTTAAGCATAAATATTCATAAGTCTAACAATCTTATTTATGTACATAGGCTGCAAGTTTATAGTAAAGACATTCAGATCAATGAAAGATTTGCATTATTTTTATTTTGGATTAACTGTTGCTTAATTTTTTTTGAAAATTCAGAATTGGTCTTTTATAATAAAAAGAGAATGTGAAACAGAAGGGGCGACATAATTTATTACAGCTAATTGCTGGGATTTGCTATTTATGTCTTTTTTATCAATAAGCTCCTAATCATTTACCACAACAAGATCTATAATATCAATTATTTAAGGATATTTAATCTTATATTCTTTTTTAATAATAATATCTAAATATTTTTTTAGAGAGACGAAATATACTTTAATGACACGATATAAGTTTAAAAAGTTCGATTTATTTTTAATCTTAAAAAAATTCATATTTTTGGGAATTTTAGTATTATTTCAAAAAAATTAATAGATTTAATCAATACTACTAACACTTGTGTGCACTTTTAGCTTATTTTATATAATTTTATTTACAAAAAGTGAAAAAAAATTTGATTATCTGAATTTAATAATAACGGAAGCTAGTGTGTTTGTGTTTTGTTTGATGGTTGCATTTTATTGGGATTTAATGCAAACTTACATTGATTATGATATTTAAATTAGATTAGGTTGGTTTCACATATCTATGTTACTTTCGATTTTAATACTCAATATAGGGTTTTAGATATATACAATCTTATCTAAACTAAAAAAAAGTTTAATGAAGAAATTTTAAAGTAATGTAAATTAGAATTCAAATTAATACAAGAATCCATTCCCATTAAATCCAATAAAGAATATTATGGAGTACAAATTATGATTTTGAGTAATGATTTATTTATCTTAAGAATAAAATTTTAATTTGTATTAATAAAAATGTTAGAAATTTATAAATTTTTCCTAAATTTATCTTATGATGAATTAATATTTTTTTTTAAATATCTGTAAATGCAATAAAGATGATATAGGAAAAAAGGTTCGATTATAAATTTATTAATCAATAAAGTTTGATTATTATTTTTTTATATTTTACATTAAAAATAAAACAACTCCTTCTTTTTAAACACAATCAGTTTACAGATTATAAAGTTAGTGAACAACAAAATTGAGCCAAAAGCTATCTAATGAAAAATGTAGGAAAATAATTTACATTAATCCTTAATATAACTAGAGGGAAGAAATAATAATATATTAAAACCTTAAAACCAAATGAATCACATATAATTCTTCATAATTTAAACAGACTAAATGATTGTAATAAAAAAATCTTTTAAAAAATAATCATTTCAAAAATAAGTAGAGAGATTAAAACAAAATATAGTAATAGGATATTAGACGAGTAATTGGATAATTGGTATAGTTAAACATTTAATACTGTTGTAATATATTTCTAATAAAATTTTGGATAAACTTTATGATTAAAATACAATTCTTATCCCTGCAATCATAAGTGCTTTAATGGTCTTAGCATTTGATGTAGATTAATTAATATTAGATGGAAATTATGGAGCAACATTTCTATTCTTTCTGTTACATGATGGGAAATTATACCTTTTAGCTATATATTTAGTTTCATTTTCAAAGTTTCAGGAAATTCATTATTATCATCCTTTTTTTTTCATCTTGTATTCGAATTAATCATATGTAATGTTATTTATGTATTCTTTTTAATTGTATCAACTTGAGATACTGATACCTATATAGTATGGATTTTTAGACCTATCCTTTTATTCTCTTTTGCTTGTGGTTTATTGAGGATTACATAACTATCAGAAAATTAAGAATCCAAATATCATCCATACTAATCGAAATACAACCTAGAAAAAAAACTTCTCATTGCTTTTAAATCTGGTTGTCTTGAGTTACTTTATTTCATGAGACAAAAATAACACCAAATACCAATTTACATCAAGGAGAGTCGGAAAAATTGATGAATTTAAAAATGCTATATTTCAAAATGATTATTAAATTTTATTGCTTTTCTATTTAAATTTTGTTAATTAAATTCAAAATTAAATTAAAAATACTAAATCAAATTCAATCCAATAAATTAATAAATTTCTGATGAATTCGAGAACTATAAAGTATTTCTTATAAATTAATTGGAAAATAGTCTTTAAAACAATAAAGATTGTTGTATATTTGAAGCTTGTACATTTGAGAATGCAAAGCTTTTTTTTTTTCATTAAATTTCTGAGGGATTACTATTCTGAATTTGAGTTTAATAGAAAAAGCTCCATATAATGATATTAATGGTAAGGCGTTAATATAACTCTTTATATTATTAGTTTATTTGGATAATAAAATATTTCTAAAGTTAATTTTGATATATGTTATTTAATATATCATAACTGTAATATAAATTAATACTAATAAAAAATTATATTAATTATAGATTTTTTTCTTTATATAGAATAAATGAATAATAATAGAAGCAAAAAAGTGATTATTGCAATAACAAAAATAAAAATAACAGATTAATGAATGGTTTAGATC